TACCGCGTGGTGCCCGACATCGTCACCCTGGCCAAAGGCATCGGCAATGGGCTGCCGCTGGCGGCGGTGGTCACAACCCCCGAGATCGCCGCCGTCATGGCCGCACGCCTGCACTTCAACACCTACGGTGCGCCCGCGGGGCGGCGCGGGGCGGGGCGGGACGGGGCGGAGCGGGGCGGCGGGCCGGCGCTTTGCACAGGGGCTGGCACCGCCTGGCTGGCAGAGGTCTATTGCTGCCAGCTTCCAATTCATTATGCTGCTGCTGCTGCTGCTCCGATGCCCCACCCTGCCGGTGCTGCTGCTCCCTCGCCGCCGCCGCCGCCGCCTCCCCCGCAGGTGGCAACCCGGTGTCGAGCGCGGCGGGGCGCGCCGTGCTGCGGGTGATTGATGAGGAGGGGCTGCAGGAGAACTGCGCCCAAGTGGGAGGGTACCTGCTGGATGAGCTGAGGTGTGTTCTGGGCGCTGGGTGCGCTGGCATAGCAAGCATAGCAGGCATAGCAGGCAGGCGGCGGCAGGCCAGGCTGCGCAAGAAGGGGATGCCCTGGCTCCCTGCTGCTGCTGATGATGATGATGCTCGCCCTTGCGTGATCGTGAGGGTCAGTGACACTGAACCTGCTGTCCTGTGTGGGGTCCCCGCCCGCCTTCCCCGCCTGCCTTCCGCCTGCCTGTCTGCCGCAGGCGGCTGCAGGGCAAGCACGACATCATCGGCGACGTGCGGGGCCGGGGGCTGATGGTGGGCGTGGAGATGGTGAAGGACAGGCAGACCAAGGCAAGAGGCAGCAGGCAGATGCATGCGCACGGCCCGCTGGCCTGCTTTTCGGTGTCGCCGTGCCGTGCATGTGCCTGGCACCGCCGACGTGCTGCCTCCCATGCTGCACCCTACCCAGTTGCTTGCCCAGTGCCTGCCCTGCCCTGAGCCCTGCCCTGAGCCCTGCCCTACCCTGCGCCGCCGCCCTGCAGGAGCCTGCCGTGGCGGAGGTGGCGCAAGTGTTTGAGCGGTGCAAGGACCTTGGCGTGCTGCTGGGCAAGGGAGGTGAGCTCTGCGGGGACGGTCTCCCGGGGGCGCACGCGAGCGCGCTGAAGGCAAAAGGGCCGCGCCCGCAAGCCTGAAGGAGCCCTGCCTGCCTCCCCGCCACCTGCCGCCCGGCTCACCCGCCCCTGCCATGCCGCGCCCTCCCTGCCCTCCCACCCTGCAGGCCTGCACGGCAACGCCTTCCGCATCAAGCCGCCCATGTGCTGGACCAAGGCCGACGTCGACTTCCTCATCGCCGCGTTCGACCAGGCGCTCAACGAGCTGTGAGCTGCAAGGCGGCGGCCAGGCGGCAGCCCACGGGCAGCCAGCCAATGTATAAGCATCTACTAAGCATTATTAGGTATACCCTGTTGGTACGTAGTTGCATTTTTTCATGTAGCAATCTTTTTCCAGTTCAGCGTTCGCGACGGAGGGAGAGTGTACAGCCGCCAGCGCTCAGGGCTTGGCCTCTGGCTTGGCCTCTGGCTTGGCCTCCGCGGCGGCGGGCTCCTTGGCCTCTGCGGCGGCGCCGCCCGCCGCCTTGCCGTCGTCGCCTGTGCGCGCGTCGGTGTACAGGCACTTGGGGCCAAACTCGTAGTAGGTTCTGACAAACTCCAGCCGTGCCTTCTCCGTCGTCATGCCCTGCGGCAGGCGGAGGGGGGAGGGGAGGGGGCACCCGCACAGGCGACAGGTGAGGCCTGCGGCGTCTGAGGAGGCGCAGGGCGCTGGCTGGGCTGGCAGGGCTGGCTGCCTCGACCCGCCTTCAAGCGCAACCCGGAGCCTGCTGCACTTCCCGGAGCAACTGCACCTCCAGCCGCCAGCTGACCCCACCCCACCCCACCGCCAGCCCACCTTGTGCGCGGCCCAGGCATCCCACTTGGCGCGCCCCTCAAAGTCCAGCCCGCCCTTCTCAGCCCACATGGGCCGCTCCGTGGTGATGTTGCCCTGCGTGGCCTGCTGGTGGTAGCTGCAGGCAGGTGGGGAGTGTGGGCAAGTGAGCTATGCAAAGCAGCTCAGCCTGCATGCCCGGCCGTCCTGGCTGACCTCACAGGGGGGCACACACGCGCGCAGTGGAAGCTGTCCCAGCCAGCCCAGCCCAGCCAGCGTGGCTCACCCATACAGCACGTAGAAGTCATCCGGCTTGACGGTGGCGCCTCCAGGCTTGCTGCAGCAGCAGGGGCGGGGTGCAAGTCGGCGCATGGCGGGATGCAAGGCCTAGCGGGCCCACACATGCCATGGCGGCGGCGGCATGGATACAGGGCAGCCCCGTCTCCAGCTGCCTGCGCTTCTCGCCCTTGCATCACCTGATGATGCGCCAGTTCAGCTTCTCGTACTTGCTGACCAGAGCCTCAAACTCGGCGGCATCGTACTTCTGCTGTTCAGGCACGCATGACAGCGGCGGCAGCGGCAGTCAGCGGCAAGGGTGGGCAGGCGCAAGAAGAGGGCAGCCATCTCTCCAGCGAAGGTTGCAGTGTTCTCCTTGCTGCGGTGGATACTGATGGATCCCGTCCTGGGAGCACGCCAACAAGCCATCCCCACCTGCTTGCGGTGCGGCGACAGGTCGTTGTTGGCGGCGGCCGCCGCCAGCTTAGCCTCCGCGTCGGCCTTCATCTTCTTCAGCCGCGTGCGCGCCGCTGCAGCGGAGTGGCACATGGCTGGGCGTCTCAGCCAGGGGTGCGCTAGCTGGGGAAGTGGCAGTCCCGGTGCCAAATCGGCCAGTGGTGGGTCTGAGACCGCCCATGTCACCGCCCATCTCCCCCTGCCCACCTCGCAGCTTCTGTCGGCTCTCGCCCGGCTTGCTGTCCAGGAAGGAGGCCTGCCCGATGGCGGCCTCCAGCGCCTCGATGTCCTTGGCACCGACCAGCCCGGCCACCGCCGTCTCTTCGTCTACCGCCATCGCCTCCCTTGCTCGCTGGGTTGATCACGGAGAGAGATCGCCGAGGAGGCAAGGGCCGGAGCGAATGCAGCGAGTCAAAAGATGCAAAGATGCCAGCTGGCAGTTGACTTTCTGCACACAGGTCTGCTGGTATCCTCCCATGTGGAGGTGGAAAAACGTCCAGGATAAGGGATCACATCAGGAAGTCACAGCCCAGCCTGCAGCGCCTCCCACCTTCACCACCAGTGCTCCAGCCCGCCGTTTCTCAATGCAAGTACAATGCGGTCAGGCGTGAGTTACACAGTCAAAAACAGTGTGTCAAGTACAGAGTCGTCAATACAACTTGCGCCACACTGGGCAGGAAGCAGTGCTGACGGGGTCCGCGTCCCCGCCATGGCAGTTATGTCAGCAGCTCGGGCGAGAGCAGCCGTCTCATGCCGTCGGCTCTTCCTTCACCCGCACAGCCCGGATGCGGCTGTCGCCATCTGCCTGGGCAGACCTGCAGAGGCAGCAGCAGGAGCAAGGTTACACGAATGGCAATGAGGATCCACCCACCTGGACTCAGGCCACAGTGCATGCAACTCAGAGCACCACATGCACATCACGCGGCAGCCTCCCCAGGGCTCACCTGCGGGTGCTGCGCCTGCTGCCCTTGGCTGCCGGCACGGCCTCCTCTGCAGCCGCCGCCTCGCCCCCAAACATGGCCGCCAGCGCTGCCACCTTGTTGCCGCGCGCGCGGCCAGAGGCCCGGCTGCCACCGGCCTGCCGGTTGGCGGCTGCCGCCTCCTGCTCCTGCTCCTCTGCCTGCTCCTCAGGCCCGGGTGCCGCAGCCTCCTGCTCTGGCTCCTCCTCCTCCACCACTGCCGCCCGCCGCCTGCCGGTGCGGCGAGCCGGCGCGGGCTTGGCAGCGGCGGCGGTGCGGCGGCCGCCAGCCTGCCGCGGCCGCTGCTCCGGCTCCGCCTCGCGCTCCGCCTCTGCCGCCGCCTCCTCTGGCTCGGGCTTCACCTTGGTGGCCGTGCCAGACTGCTGGTGGACACTGCGGGCTGGGAGGCGCCCGTCGCGGCACCGCCCTCCGCCTCCATCTCTGCCGCCCGCTCGCCCAAGCTGACATTCCCATCCTCGCTCATCGCCCTCGCCTCCTCACTCGCCTCCTCCTGCAACTCCATGCCGCCCAGCTGGCTGCGCACATCGGACGCACCAGCCGCGTCCACATCGGCGGCGCCCTCCACCACCGCCGCCGCCGCTGCCGCCGTATCCAGCCGCTCGCCGCTCTCCACCTCCAGCTGCATGCCGCCCAGCTGGCGCCGCATGTCAGACACGTCGGTGGTGTCGGTGGGGGCCGCGCCGCCGCCGCTGGCCTGCCCAGATTCTGCCGCCGCGGCGCGCTCCTCGGCGTGCTGCCGCGCCTCCTCAGCGGTCCGCACCTCGTCTGCCCGCTCTTGAGCATACTCGGCAATCTTCTGCTCAAAGCCCTCAATCTCAGCCTGCAGGGGCATTGGTGACGTGGGTCAAAGGCAGCCAGGCAGGTGCGGCGAGGCTCAGGCACAGCCTTTGCCTTGGACTAAGGCTGACTGGCTGGCGGTCCCCATCCAGCGCATGCAGACACCGCCACCACACACCTTGAGCTCCTGCTTGTTGCTGCCCTTCTTGGCCTTCTGGATGATGCTGGTGATGGCAGCAGCCACCTGCGGGCGAGCCACAGCCGCCAGCCGGCAGGCCGGTCAGCGCCGATCCAGGACCAGCTGAGCCTGCTCAAGTGGTCGTCCCTCCCGGCCCCATACTCTGCTTGTTTACCACAGGGCACGGCAGGCCAGCGGCGGCGGCACAAGCCCACCTCCTCATCCCCCAGCGCGTGCTTGTAGTGGCGGAACGAATCGCTCAGCTTCTTCAAGCCCTTGTCGCTCAACGGCAGCTGCAGCAGAGAGGGCAAAGACGTGGGAAGCCCATGGGGCGTGGTTCACGCCCAGCAAGCTGTGCAAGGCGGCACCCGGAACATCCCCTCCTGCACGCTTCATAGGCGGCGCAATGCACCGCGCCAGGCAAGCACAGCGCCGCCCTCCTGCGCCGCGCCCCGCCCACCTGCGTGAGGCAAAAGGCGATGGAGTGCCACTGAGCGGCGTCATCTGTGGCCGCAAAGCGCTGGCACAGCTTGTCTATCAGCGAATCGCCCTGCCTGTCCTTCTTGATGTAGCCCAGCAGCTGCGCAGGGGGTGGTGTTGGTGGGGGCAGGGAGGTGAGATGGCGAGAAGGCGGGCAGGCAGACACGCGCCCCAGGCATGTGTGCCGCCATGCATTGCCACCGACGATCCTGCAGAGGCGCAGGCAGCTCGCCAGCCCCCCTCACGTGCTGCATGATGGCCTGGAACTGGGGCTTGGTCAGGGCGGGCTCCTTGGACAGGTTGGACAGGATGTCGGGCAGGAGGTTGTAGATGGGGCTGGTGCCCTGCACGCGGGGCAGGAGGCGGGCAACCGTGCAGCATCAACGCTACGCCCCAAACACACCACCCACAGGGCCGCACACCACCCAGGCTCGGCCTGCAGCCACACTCCACCTTCCCCAGCCCATCTACAGACGTCTCCCTCTGCTGCGCTCCACTCCACTGCGCTCCTCCTTGTCCCCCTCCTCATGCACGAACCCGCACCGGCACCCCTCCCTCCAACACCACCCCAAACCCCACCTTGTACTCCTTCTTGGCCAGCTCGTGGAAGAAGAGCTGGGCCAGCGCCGCGATGCGCTCGTCGCCGTCCTCCAGGCACAGCGCCATCTTGGCGATGTGCCCCTTGACCTGCAGGCAGGCAGGCAGGCAGGCAGGGTGGGGCCGGTGGCGGGTGGGCAAGCGGGTGTTGCGCGGCTTGCAAGCCATCCATCCGCCCCCTGGCCAGCGTTCCATTCAGCTCCGCTTCTCTCCACTCCGTAACCACACTCACACACACCGCCATGCCCCCCACCCCCACCCCCACCCCACCTTCATCATGTCGTTGAGGATCAGGTGTGTCAGCACCATGAGCGTGTTCTTGCGCACAGCCACGTTGCGGTCGCACAGCGGGCGGTACATGAACTCTGCGGGGCAGGGCAAGGCAGGGCAAGGTGTCGGCGGGTGGGGCTGGTTGCCACCCAGCACGTGGGTGGTAGTGCCACATCGAGGGGCCCTCAAGCCCACCCCTCAAACCCACCCGTGTACGGCTCCAGCACGTTGGGGAAGCGCAGCGCCAGGTCTCCCAGCGCGATGATCAGGTTGGAGCGCAGGCTGGCCTCCAGGGACCTGCGGCGCGGCACGCGGCGGGATGAAGGGGGCTTGAATGCGGAAAATGCGGAAGAGCACTGCAAAACTGGAGCCAGCCACCCCATTGGGAATGGAGCCACGCCCGTCCCATGCGGCACAGAACACGGCGCAGCGGCAGGGTCGGCAGCGCTCCCAGCCGCGCCACGCCACAGCCCACGCACTCGCGCTGCACCAGGGTGAACAGGAGGTCCAGGTTGGAGTGCCCCTCCCGCCCCGCGGGCTTGTGCTCGCAGAAGGAGCTGTCCACCACCATGAGCTTGGTGAGGGCCAGCAGGGCGGCGCCACGCAGCCGCTCGTCGGCGCCCAGCAGCCAGGTGATGTTGTAGCACACTGCGGGGGGGCGAGAGCAGGCGGGGGCAAGGGCAGAAGCAGGCAAGCGAGCGCGAGGGGCAGAGATGTTGCAGACCAGGAAGCCATCTGCCCATGAGCGGGCTGGAACTAGAGGCGCTGCCAATGCGGCTGGCTGCATGCCCTCCCTCAACTGCTACGGGGCAGGCAGCGAGGCTGGCAGCAGCGGGGCTCACTGGAGGAGACCAGGCGAGCATAGGGGCCCAGCAGGCTGCGGGCCGCCAGGATCTGGACCTCGGCCTGCAGAGCGGCGACAGAAGCGCTGGCGGGCGGGTGGTGCCGTGCTGCTGCACCATGGCCAGGTCTGGTTAGGGCAGGGCGCGGGCTGGCTGCCGCCTCCACCTGCTCCGCAACCTCAAGGGAGCGGCACCTGCTCCCACCTGCTCCTTCATGGCATCCAGCTCGGCGTCGGCCGCCACGCTGCCCACACCCAGCTCCGCGTTGATGTCCTCCTCCTGGCCCCCGGGGGTGCGCCCCGCCGCCATGCGCTCCGCCCGCTCCTCCGCCGCCCGCTTCTCGCGCTCCATGCGCATGCGCCGCACCGCCTTGGCCGCACGCTCCACAAACACCTGCGGGGCGGAGGGAGGCGTCGGAAGAGGCGCAGGCGGGAGAGGCGAGCGGTAAAGCAGGCGCTCTCCAGGTGCCGCCGCTGCCGCAGCGCCGGCCTGCCCGACGCAGCTGAGCTGCAGCCAGCGCCGACGAGGCTCACCAGATGCTGCAGTGCCACGTGGCCCAGCACAAACAGGAAGCGGCTGAGGTGCGCCACGTAGTGCATGCTGCGCGGCTGCTGGGGAGCGGCCGCCTGGTGCGAGGCCGCTGGCTGCGCCTCGCCGCCAGCCTCCGCCTCCGTGCCCTCCTCTCCCTCCTCCCCGTCGCCCGCCTCCTCCGCTGCAAGCCCCTCCGCGTCCATAGCATCAGAGGGCGCCGCGCCGCCGCCGGCCTCGCTCTCCTCACCCGCCTCGCCGTCGGCGCCGGCAAAGGCCTGGCGGGCCAGGTGCTTCAGGATGGCGCCAGACACGTGCTCCGGGGCGGGGTGCAAGGCGTAGATGGCGGTGAGGGCGCTCTCGGCGGCAGAGTACCAGGAGGCCTCTGGCAGCGGGGAGGCCACCACCACGCCGGTCAGGGCGGCAAAGATCTGAGGCATGACGCCGTCGTAGGTGCTGCAGGCAGTGGGTGGGGTGGGTGGGGTAACCACTCAACTTGTTCTCCAGGTCGTCACCGCATGCCGCTTGCTGGCGGGGAGGTGTGTGGGCGACCGTCGACCGCAGGCGCCCCCACGCCTCCTGCTTGCCTGCGCCTGCCAGCCATCAGAGCCAGCTGCACTGCCCCACTCACCCCGCCTTGCAGTTGGAGGCCAGGCGCTGCAGCGTGATGCATGCGTGGCGCGTGATGAGCGCGTCTGCCGCGGCAGGGGAGAAGCCAAAGCGCAGCAGGTCCTCCACCTGCTGCTGGGTGAAGGCCTCGGGGCGGGTGGCGGCTGCCATGGACAGGATGGCCAGAGCGGCGCGCAGGTCGCGGTGCGCCCTGCACACAGGCGGGGCATGGCTTGGGGCAAGCTGGTGGCAGGCACTCCCAAGCCGTGCCAGCCGAGCATGCTCGCCCACTTGTCCCGCTCCCACAGCAGCAAAGGCAGCCGCCTGCCCGCCCCTGGCCGCCCACCTCTCGGCGCCCGCCGCCCGCTGCTCCATGGCCTGGTGCGCCCTGCTGGCAACGTCCCACAGCTCGTGCAGCATGACGGGGCGCAGGAACTGCTTGTGGATGAACTCCTTGATGACCTCCTCCAGGGAACCCAGCTCGCCTGCAGCCGGCCCAGGAGAGCGATTCAGCAGCAGCAGCAGGGGACGCATGAAGGCGGCAGCAGTACGATCCCAGCAGCACGCTGGCAGAACGGTGGTCCATGCACACGATGGCGGTATTAACAAAAGCAGAGGGAGCCCAGCGGCCACAGCACGGCAGAAGCAGAAGCTCAGACAGGCAGCATGGGGCGGCGCAGACCACAGCGCACCCAGCGTGGCGCCGGTGGCCAGGTCGATGAGGTTGCGTGCGGCCTGGGCTGAGGAGAAGACGTTGCCGGTCCAGCCGTTGATGTACAGCTGGTCCAGCGCCTCCACAATGCGGTCCTTGATGGCTGCGGGGGGAGGTGGCAACCGTGTGGAGCAGCAGGGCAGTGGGGTGGGAGGTTGGCGGATGAGAATGGCGAGCGAGGAGGCAAGGAGGTGGCACGGTGCACTACAGGGGCAGCTAGCCCGGGAAGAAACGGCTGGCTGGCTGGCTGGCGCTGCCTGCTGCAGAAACGGCTGGACCAACCCGCAGCTGAACGGAGCTGCCGCCCTGGCTCGTCCCCACTGCCGGCGCCTCACCCTGGTCCTTTGAGAAGATGAGGGGCAGCATCTTGCGGATGGTGTCCGCCGCGCCGTCCACCTCGAACTGCTTGCAGGTCAGCAGCATGGCGATGCTCTCCTGCACGTCGCTGATGGTGGAGGAGGCCAGGAGCTGGGTGATGGTGGGCATGCAGGCGGAGATGGCCTTGGAGAAGGTCACGGCCATGGCCAGGGAGGCCACCAGCGCCTGCAGCTCCTCCAGCGTGCCATCAAACCCGACCTCCGCGGCTGCAGGGGGGGCGGCAGGGAGGGGCACAGCACGGGAGGAGGCGGTGGGCGGGGGAGGAATCAATGCAGGGCGGGGCAGTGCTGACTGGCTGGAAAGCTGGAGAGGGCGCTGATGGCGCACGCAACCCTGGCCCCCAGCTCACGTGAGCAGGTGGGCTGCGCGGGCTCCTCCTCCGCCGCCTCGCCACCGGCCGCCGCCTCGTCCTGCTCCGCCGCAACGGCAGCCGCCGCCTCGCCGTCGACCTCCATTTCCTCTGCCGTCTCCTCGGCGCCCGGCTCCGCCTTTACGGCGGCGCCTGGCTCCTCGGCTGCCGCGCCGCCCTCGGCACCGCCCTCCACACGGATGGGCTGCTGCAGGGTGTCACCCTCCTGGCCGAGCGCCGGGGCCGCCTCCTCTGGTGGTACCAGCTGGTCCAGCATGGCCCGGTGGTCAGCCAGGGTCTTGTCGAAGCGATCCAGGGGCAGCTTGGGGCCAAAGGGGTTGTGCAGCATGAGCGCCTGCAGCAGGCGCAGCGCCTCCTTGCGCACCAGCGACGACTTGTCCTCCAGCCGGCCTGCAGGCGACAGGCAGAAGAGAGGGGGAGTCGGCAGGCAAGCAGGCAGGCTGGCTGGCATGCGAGTGGCAGATACGGGCAGAGGGCTTGACCCATGCACCGGTTTTGACCGGCAGAATCCGTTGCAGGCTGCAGCCCGGCACCTCGGCCCTCGGGCACCAGCCCCGGCGCTCACCCGTAGCGATGCCGGTCACCATCTGCCAGTGGCCCAGCGGTATGGCGCGGTGCTCCGCCAGGTACTCCCACGCCTGCAGCACCGCCACCCGCGTGTAGCTGCTGTGGTCGCGCACCCGCTCGCACAGCAGGTCCAGCAGGTGCTGCTTGGAGCGCAGGCGGGCCAGCGCGCCCTGCGCATCCGCCGTGTCGGTGGCTCCGCTGCCGTCAAAGGCCTTGTGCAGCAGAGAGGCGATGGCGTGCACGATGGCGCTGCGCAGCGAGTAGGCCTTGCCGCCCAGGTGGGGCAGCAGCAGCGCAATCTGGTGTGACATCAGCCTGCGCACGCGCGGGCCGTCACAGAGCACGCACGCAAGGATCGTTGCATGCACACACCCGCGGCTGGGAAAGGGCTGCAAGGAATACACAATGCAAATGCCAGGTGCATCCATGCCGCAGCAACGGCACCACGCCAGCCAGGCCAGCCAGCCCGCACCTGGGCAGCTGGGCGGCCATCTCCTTGACAAACGCCGCCACGCTGCGCACGCCCGCCTTCTCCCCCGACGTATTCTGCTGGCGCTCGTACTCAGCCGGGTCCACCGCCGCAATCTCTCCCAGCACGGCAGCCGCCTGAATGACCAAAGCATGGCAGTGGCAGTAGCTCGTGGGCTGGCAGTGCAGCGCAGCTTGGGGCATGGCACGATGCGGCTTCGTCGGCGGCAGCGGCGGCATCCTGGATACCCAACAACCATCATCAACCAGCCAGCCAGGCAGCAGGCCTCACCAGGCCGCCATCGTCCCAGTGCTGAATGGCGTAGCGCAGCGTGCCCGCCACCAGCACCGGCGTGTGCTCATACTTGGTCAGCGCATCCACCAGCGCAGCTGCAGCATGCAGGCCAGCCAACAGCCCATCAGCAAGGCGAAGCACGCAGCACGCTGGCAGCGCTGCACGCCCATACAGGCAACCGCAAAAGCAGGGCTGCCATACGGCACACAGCGCGTCGCTGCCACCCACCCGTCACATTGTCCAGCTGCTGGTACTTGAGCGCCATGACGGCCAGGATGTGGGCGGCGTTGGCCGCCTGCTCCTCGCACTTGAGGCAGCCGGGGTCCTCCAGTGCGCTGCTGGCCTGCGGCAGCAGCATAGGATGGCATCAGGCCATGCAATGCGCACGTGGCGGCTGGGAGAAGCCTGTGGACCAAATCAGCAACGCACGCCTTGCCGGCCACCCCTTCATTGCTGCTGCTCCATGCCCTCCACCCCTCACCAGCTGCAGGGCCTTCATAAGCAGGGGCTCCTCGGGGCCGCTGGGGCGGAACAGGGCCCAGAGGTCGGTGTTGAGCGCCTGCGCCACCGCCTTGACCACCCGCGGGAACTGGGTGCCCCAGTCCCACCCCGCCACCTCTGACGCGGCCGCCTTCTTCTTGCGCCCGCGTCCCGCACCGCCGACAGCCTGTGTAGCGCTGGACCCGCTGCCCTCGGCGGCCGCCTTGCGGCTCTCCTGCGCCGCCAGCCCGCTGATCCAGCCCAGGAAAAAGATGTAGGCCTTGAAGGCTGAGCGGTGCTGGCGCACGGAGTCGGGGTCGTGGCTGTCGGCGGGGGCTGCCAGCAGCTTGTCGATCCAGGCGTTGAGGCAGGTGAGGGAGGAGCAGAGGGAGTCGATGAGCTGGCGCCGCTTGGGCCCGTCCACCTGCCCAAAGCATGCCACCAGGCTGCACAGCTGGTCAAAGTTCTGCTGCTCCACGATGCACAGCGGGTCCTGGTCGCACAGCACAAAGGCCAGGTCTGCGGGGGGAGGGAGGATGACGCGTGTGAGCAGCAGCGGGGTACGGCGGCGACGGCAGGCGGCGGGAGTGGCGGCGGCAGGCCTTCCAGGGCTCTGCGGGCTGCGCTCGAACTTGGCGCCGCTGATCACGCAGCCAGTATGTCACAGCGGCCCCGCTTTCACGCGCAGAGCAGGCCATCCGCCGAGAGCTGTCGCTGGCAGCAGTTGAACTGGCGGCAGCTGCGCACTCTCGGCTATCTCCCCAATCTCCTCCGGGGCGCTGCCCGCCAGGTCGGTGAAGGCCTCGCATCGGAGGCCTGCCAGCTCCGAGTCGGGGCTCCACAGCTCCCCCGGCTCGCTGGGCAGGAAGAACTCGTCCATTGGCGGTTGTTCGTTCACTCCCGGTGACGCATCAGATCGCGGGGAGCATGACGGGATTGCGCGGCAGGCTTCCAAGAGGGTGGGGGCGAATGTACCGGCCCCGCCCGCAGTACATCCGGGTTTCTCATGCCGCAGGCGACGTCACAGGATCTCCGCTCAACATCTGTGCCTTCGGCCCCAAGGGCGCCCATTGGTGTCCTGCTAGGGCGCTGCAGGGGGTAGCGCGAATGGCGGAAACCTGACTGTCTTGCAGCGGCTTTGCGGGTTCCTAGAGCACGCAGCAGAGTCGGGGCATCTCGCTTGTGCGCGGTCACGGGCGCCAGCGGAGATTTGCATCAAGGGTGGCGGCAGGCGGCGGCAGGCGGAGCGCACGTAGCGACGCCTCCCGGGCCCACGCCAGCCAGCCAGCAGCATGAGGGCCATCGCGAGGCCCCAGCGCCAGCAGCAGCGCAGCCGCTCGCTGATGGGCTTGGTGGCGGCGGCGCTGGCGGTCTTGTGCGTGGTGCAGGCGCTGCTGCTCGTGCGGCCCCGGTCCAGGTGCGGGCTGGCGTGTGCTGGGCGGGCTGCGCCAGCTGCTTGCCGTGCCAGCATTGTGCGCGTGCGCTGCTGCCCTGCCGACTGCCCCGAATGCCCGGCCTCGCTGCCATCACGCACCGGAAGCCATGCATACGTGCACTCATACCACGCCGCTCGCGCTGCCGGGTGCAGCTGCCTGCAAGGCGCGGGCAGGGAGGCAGCGGAGGAAGGCGTTGACGACTTGTTCAGGCGGGAGCAGCAGCGGGGGCTGATTGGGGTGCGGCCACGGACGGGAGGAGCAGGCAGCAGAGGAGGAGCAGTTGGCGGCGGGCGGGCGTCGTCGTTGGCCGACGTGCGAGGCGCCCCGCTGGCCTTCATCACCTTTGGCAACGGCGCCTTCAGCGACTTCATCACCAACTGGGTGCTCAGCGTGCAGCGCCTGGGCCTGCCCTTCCTGGTGGGCGCCCTGGATGCGCGCATGGTGGAGGTGTGCAAGGCCAAGGGCTGGGCGCACCTGGATGTGTCGGCGCTCATCCAGGGCAACGCCACCATGTTCCGAGCCAACTTCAAGACCTTCCGCAACATGGGGGCCACCAAGGCGGGTGCCGCGCTGATGTGGCATGCTCGCTGACCTGGCAGCAAGCCACGCGTGGGGCTGGCTGGCACCTTCGCAGCGCTCTGTGCTTGTGCATGCTGCATCACGTGCCCAGACTGCGCTGAGCTGGCGCCCACCACCCTGCTGAGCTGGCGCAGGTCCAGCTGGTGCTGACGATGCTGGAGGAGCTCAAGGTGGAGACGGTGGTGGTCAGCGACTCGGGTGGGTGCCCCCTGGCCTCCCAGCCCTGCCCAGCTGCCAACGCATCCGCGCCGCCGTGCAGGCAACACATGCAGCACAGGCGGGTGCCGCAGCCTGCCTGCGGGTTGCCCGGGGTGTGTGGGCCCCACCGTGCCTCCTTCACCGCTGGTCCCTGCAGACACGACCTGGCTGGGTGATCCCAGTGCCTACCTGGCGTTGCACCCCTCTGCCGACTTCTACATCTCCACTGACTGCCTGTCGCACAAGGTGAGCAGAAAGGGCCAGACAAGCGGGCCAAGGCTTCAACCGGCTGCTTTTGGGGAGGGATGCCTATGCTGCCTCCTGCCCACAACCTCTCAGGACGAGTGTGCCCTGGTGCACAGCCAGCGTGGCCAATTGTCGCTGCCAGCCGTGCCAGTCCTGTTTCGCCACCGCCACCGCTGCTCTGCCGCCGCAGGTGGAGGTGGAGTGGAAGGCGCAGCACCTGCAGCCCCGGTGCGGTCACGTCCCGGGCAACTCGTGGGGGCGAGCCTTCAACACGGGGGTGTTTGCGGTGCGCAACCGCGAGCAGGGGCGCACGCTGCTGGCGCGGTGGCGGGACATCTTGCTGGACCCATCGGGCGGTACCGTCGTGGTCAGTGCCTCCTGCCTGCACGCCGCCGCCGCTCACTCTGGGCCCGGCGTGGGCCGGCATGCACCAAGCTGCTCTGCCGCTGCTGCCGCTGCTGAGTTTCCACACGCTGCCCATGCCGCACATCATGGCCCGGTACCACCTGCCGTGCTGTACTGTACTGCACTGTACCGCTGCAGACCAAGACCAATGCCACGCTGGGCATCACCGATCAGCTCGCCCTCAACATGATCCTGGACAAAGCCATACCCTCGGGCCCAGTGCATGCCGCCCCCGAGGACGACCACGTCCTGCTGCTCACCTGGGCCGCCAACGACAGCCTGCGCCTGCACCCGCTGCCCGTCGCCCTCTTCCCCTCCGGCCACGTCGCCTTCGTGCAGCGGCTGCCCTGGAAGTGAGCGCAGCCGGCCGCCTGTGCGCCGCCAGAGCCGGCAAGCAGTTGGGACGTGTCCCGCCGGTTGCCAGGCTGGATTGTGCAGCTCCCTCTGTGTGCCTGCATGCAACACAGTCTAGCCTGATGCATGCTCTGTGTCTCATGATTGCCTGCAGGGCTGGCGTTGACCCTCTAGTGATACACGCCACCTTCCAACGGTACCCAGTGAGCATGCACCAGTCTGGCAAGCGCGCCAGGTTCAGGTGGGCAGGGGGCTGGCGGCTAAGCTGGCGCTTGCCGACCCCTCTGCAGGGGCCTCGCAAGAGCTGGGACAGCCTGGCTGGCAGCCTGCTCTGCCCATCCACCTGCACCGCACAGCAAAGCTACTCAACTGTCATCTGGCTGATGCAGGGAGTTTGGGATGTGGTTCCTGGATGGTCCCGAGTACTATGCGCCGCCGGGGGCGCGCTATCTGAGCTATGACAACGATGTGCGGCGGGTGGTGGACGAGGTGGCGGCCTCGCCCCGCTTCAAAGGCATCATGCCTGTCCTGCACAGGCACCTAGTGGGCACCGCCTACCAGCTGGCGCAGTTCAGGTTGGAGTGGGAGTGGGAATGGGGTGCCGCTGCTCTGCTTCTGCCTCCGTGTCGGGCTGGCAGAGTTGTGGCGCGTTTGTTGGAGTCGAGGGGTTGAGCATCCCTCCTGCGCAAGGTACACGTGCCACTCTGCCTCTTGCCACCGTGCCGCAGGGACGCGCTGGCCGCGGCGCGCATGCTCAACCGCACCCTGGTGCTGCCCACCTCGTGGTGCTGGTGCGACTACGACTGGACGCCGCACGTGCTGGAGAAGTGCAAGATCAGGTACAGGGGGGTTGGGGGGAGATGCGGCTGCTATGTACGGCAGCCCCCTTCCACCAGGCTCCAGCTGTAGCACCGACATGTTGGCATCATCCCCCTCCCTGCTCCCTCCGCCGCCTGGCCTGCAGGGGCAGCGACCTGCGGCTGCCGTTTGAGTGCCCCTCGGACTTTGTGCTGCACATCCCGTACATGGACATGGCCGGGCTCGACTTCCGCATGCCCGGCTTCCTGGACAACCCGCAGGTGCTGCGCATGCTTTGCAACCCCTCCTCCAGTCCATGCTGTGATCCTGCGTGGTTGTAGCACAGTGTTGGGAGTGGTGGGCAGGCATCCTGTGCGCTGCCGCCGCTGCTGCTGGTCTGCTGCGGACCCAGCCGCCCTGCACGCGCCATCCTGCCGTCGTAGGTCCCTGATGCGTTACGCCGGGGACGAGCCGAGGTACACATGATGTCGGCCAAGCCAGCCCTGCCTGCACCGGGAGTCGCAGTGCTTGCCGCCAGCAGGGAGCCGGTTGGCGTGCTGTGGCCGCGCATGACGCAAGGGGAGCTGGTAGCAGCGCTGCAGCCTCTGAACCAGACTGCGGCGCTGACAATCAGGTGGGTCTGTTGGGCTGGCCTGGCCGCCTGCTGTGCTGTGCCCCGCTGCTTCAGATGCCCATTGCCCACCCTGCAATGCGCGGTGGTTGCCTCACTGCAGGGGCATGCGGCCGGGGCTGCTGGAGGGTTTTGCCTCCGCGGAGCAGCAGGCGGCCTTTGACGCCTTGTACCGCAACGTGACAAAGGAGCTGTACTGGTGCGTCGGCGCCTCTGGCTGTGCTCTGCTGGACTAGCCTGTTCAAGAAGGCTAGCGTTTAAGCGGATTTGGTTGGTTGCAATATGGCGAGGCAACATGGCCAAGCTGCCCCTTCCCTGGCTGCAGGTGCTGCGCCGCCCAGTCAGAGGCGATAATGAACTCGTTCCCTTATGCGTTGCCAAAGCCGTATGGAGGTGCAGGCCTGCTGCTGCTGCTGCCGCCGCCGGCTACGCCGGGTGTGCCCGCTGGCAGCTGGCGGCAACAGCAGGTTTCCATGCAGCCAGCGCCCCACGCTTCCTGGAATCCCGCGGCTCCTGCAGCAGATGGCGGCTGGCCCCGTGAACTTGAATTTCCCGCCTTCTCCTTTTCGCAGCTGGGTACACGCCCTGGGAGGCGCCGGTGATGCCCATGCCAACTTACTGCGATCGAGTGGATGCCAAGACCAAGGAGTTTGTCAGCTACGAAAACCACCCTTGCTCCTTCATGAGGAATGAGACAGCAGCGGCAATGGCATCTGCGATTAATCGCAGAGCTATCAGCTGATGTCGGGTGGCAGCGGTCCTAGGCGGCAGCCGTCGCCGCCGCTGGTGTCAGTCTCAGATTTGCTTGCTTCAAGACTGTGGCACGTCGTTCTACACCCTTCTCCTCAATCACTGTGACCGCATTGAGATTTTTGATTGTACAGAGATCTTCATCTCCGCGCCTATGTGTCGCCACCGCTCTTTCATGGCCTGCGGCCCCCACCACCTCCCACAAATCTCGCAGCCAGCAAACAAATGGGTAGCACGGTCGGCGGCACCCTATAGCGGCCTCTCCGACAATTTGGGCAAAGCCATGCAGTCTGGCGGGGGCGTAGCGGCCCCTGAATGAGCTCCCGGTAGGCTTTCGAGGCGGGAGATCGAGAGGCGTCCTCAGGCAAGGAGTCTCATACGCCGCAAGCACTCCCTCCAACCCTGCAAAGCCTGCTGCCGCCGCTTTCCCTGCCATTCTCTGCGCCATAGCATGTCGTGGCGAAAGCGTATGCCGTCTGCTAGCCTGCGCAGGTTGTGCGCCGGGAAGATGGGGGCTTTGTTGTACCGACGGCGCTCCCAGCGGTGGGGCTGGTCGCGCGCTCTACCGCCGGTGCTGGTTGCAGCCCTGATCATTGCTCTGCACTCTCTGACGGCCATGCATTCATCCAGGTACGCAGCCAGTTGCCGCACTGCCCTGGCACCCCTCCCATGCATGTGCCGCCAGCATTGTGCGCTGCAGCTAGTGCCGCAGGCTTGCGCACCGTGCGTTGGCTCCAGCCGGCACTGATTAATGTCACGTGACCATCCCTCGCCCGCCTGCCTGCAGCCAGACCGCATGGGGTGAGGACACGGATTTCAGCGGCGCCTCGGGCGCAGCGGAATCAGCGGGCGGCGGCAATGGAGCAAGGCTCTCCATTCGCTCGCGCCCTGGCGGCAATCGCCGGCAGGCCACCTCTCTGCCCTCCACCGCGGCCGTGCTGGCAGCAGCACGAGAAGCGTCAGCGCCCAGGGCAGGGGGCAACGCCACCGGCGGCAGCCGCGGCGGCGGCGGCACGGCCGGAACGGCCAGCCACCGGGAAGTGCAGGTGCCGGGCGGTGGAGCCTCGGCGCCTGGCGTCCGGCCCGGCCAGCCACCCAACACAGCCACCGTGTTTGTCACCTTTGGCAACACCGCGATGTGGGAGTTCACGCACAACTGGGCGCTGAGCGTGCAGCGCCTGGGCGCCGCCTACTTGGTGGGGGCCCTGGATGCCGGCATGTCGGAGCTGTGCGCCCAGGCGGGGCTGCCCCACCTCGACCTGTGGCGGCAGCAGGAGGTGAGCGCAGCGGGGCGGGGAGCCTGCCAGCCCCCATTGCGCTCCCAATGTGGGGCCGCCTCCCCATCACTGCGCTCACCGTTGTGCGCGCGTGCTCCTCGTGCGGGGCGTGCAGGGCAACGCTGCTGGCGGCTCTGCCGCCAACTCATCCTTCTTCCGCGCCGACTTCCGGACCTTCCGCAACATGGGTGCCGCCAAGATCCAGCTGACGCTGTCCATCCTGGAGGGCGGCGGCGGCGTGGACACGGTGGTGGTCAGCGACTCGGGTGGGTGGGCGGGCGGTGCGGGGTGCTGGGGTCCGGGGTCACTGTGACCCGGCTGTGGCGAGTTGGTGCTGCTGGCGCCGCGGCAGCTGCCAGCATGCCGCCCATGCATGGCCCCTCGTGGCGGTGCCCGCAAACAGGGGTGGAGGTTGCGAGAGGGATTCAGCTGCGTGGCCCGCCACCGTGCTCCATCGGAGCGCGTCCCATCCCGCTCCACCCCAGCCACCCATGGCTCGCCTGCTCCGTGCGCCCCGCAGACACGGTGTGGCTGAGGCACCCCCAGCAGTACTTTGACCAGCGCCCTGCGGCCGACTGGTTCATATCCACCGACTGCCTGTCGCACGAGGTGGAGGCGGCCTGGCGCCCGCAGCACAACCAGCCACGCTGCGGCCACGTGCCAGGCAACATCTGGGGGCGGGCGTACAACACCGGCGTGTTTGCGGTGCGCAACCGCGAGGCGGGGCGGCGCCTGCTGCGCCTGTGGCGAGACTTGGTGCTTGGGCCCGAGGCCCTGGTGCAGGTCAGTCCTCGCTGGCGGCCTTTCTTCCCTCCCTACATTGCCTGCTTGTCTCCACGGCTGCCGCCCCTGGCCGCGCCGCGCTGAGCCAGCTGCGCGCCGTCCGCCGTCACATGCACCTTGCTTCTGCATGACTTAAGACATGAGCACCACCGCCCGCTGCCCGCAGACGGAGGCCAACCAGACCTTTGGCGTCACCGACCAGCAGGCGCTCAACATGCTGCTGGAGGAGGTGAGCGGCCACCCTGCGCTTTGATTTGCATGTGCGCCCTGGCCTCGCTTGCCCTGTCGCTCCCACCCGTTTGTGTGTCCCCCTGGCTGGCCCCCAAGCCGACATGCCCTCCCCCGCCACACATCCATGTGGCCCGTCGCACCCCTCGCCCGTTGCCCCGACCACCCAAATTGCTTTCCTCGTGAGCAGGGCTCGGAGTGGAAGCTGGATGCCGCCCCCGAGGACGACCACATCACGCTCATGCGCAACGGAACCCTGCGCCTGCACCCGCTGCCCATCCTGCTGTTCCCCAGCGGCCACGTGGCCTTTGTGCAGCGCCTGCCCTGGAGGTGAGCCGCCCTTCCCGGCTGCACACACTGTGCATCAGCTTGCCAGCCGGCTGGCTCATCATCAGGTGGCTCACCATGATCCATGACCGTCTCCTTGTTGTGATGCACTTCTCATCATGAGCGGCCGCCGTGGTGCAGGCACGGCGCGCAGCCGTATGTCGTGCACGCCACATTCCAGCGGTACGGCACCAGCATCAACCGCTACGCCAAGCGCGCGCGCTTCAGGCACGATGCGTGTGCACAAGCGCGTGCTGCGCCGGCGTGGCATGCTGCCCTGCGTTGCCCCCTTGTGCTGGTTCCGGGCCGGACAGCAACTAGCAATCGGCCAGCCGCCACCGCCTGCCGCCCTCAGTTCTCCTCGGCGCTTCCCTTTCCGTGCATCCCTCCCCTGCCGTGCAGGGAGTTTGGGATGTGGTTCCTGGATGGTCCCGAGTACTATGCGCCGCCGGGGGCGCGCTACCTCGCCTACTCCAACGACGTGCGGCGGTTCATCGGCCGGCTGGCGGCGGAGCGCTTCAAAGGCGCCATGCCTGTCCTGTACAAGCAGATGGCGGCCATGTCTTACCAGCTGGCGCAGTTCAGGTGGGTGGGAGGCTGGGTTGGTGCGGGTGGCCTAAAGGGTTATGTTGTGAGCAGCGCCGAGTCAGACCCTCCCTGCCCAATCGGCCACCCCCGCCGCCGCCGCAGGGACGCGCTGGCCGCGGCGCGCATGCTCAACCGCACCCTGGTGCTGCCCACCTCGTGGTGCTGGTGCGATTATGACTGGACGCCGCACGTGCTGGAGAAGTGCAAGATCAGGTACAGGGGGGTTGGGGGGAGATGCGGCTGCTATGTACGGCAGCCCCCTTCCACCAGGCTCCAGCTCCCGCACCGACATGTTGGCCCATCATCCCCCTCCCTGCTCCCTCCGCCGCCTGGCCTGCAGGGTCAGCGACCTGCGGCTGCCGTTTGAGTGCCCCTCGGACTTTGTGCTGCACATTCCATACATGGAGATGGCCGGGCTGGAGGGGCGGTACCGTGTGCCCGGCTTCTTGGAAGACCCTCGGGTGGGTGGTGTGTGTGCGTGTGTGTGCTTGTGGGAGGTACAGCGAGGGGCGGGTTGTTGAGATGCAGCTCAAGCTTCAGCCTTCCATCTGACTGGCGCGGCGGCCCGTGTCTCTCCTTCCCTCCACGCAGGCACCAGCCGAGCTGCGCCTCTCCCGCGGAGAGCTGCGGGTGCTGGATGCGGCGCCAGCCCTGGAGCAGGGCGCGGCGTGGGCAAATGGGGTCGATGCGGCGGCAGGGGCCGCGGCGGCAGCCAGCACGGCGGCCTCGGATGTGGCAAAGGGCGAGCTGCGCCTCGGCGCCGCCCAGCGCGAGATTGAGGACGTGGCGGCGCCGCTGCGGGAGGTTGCGGTACTGCAGCTCAGGTGCCCCTCAGCATACCGTGCGCCCTACTTGTGACGGCCTGCCTGCCTGCCTGCGCGCTGGCGCTGCACTGCTCATCCCCAGGATTGAGCGCTCCCGCCCAGCCCCACCCCCTGCAGCAACATGCAGCCAGGCCTGGTGGCGGGCTTTGATTCTGCGGACGAGGCCCGCGCCTTTGATGACACATTCCAGAAGATCACGGAGCAGCTGGTGGGTGGGGCGCAGCGGCGCGACTGCGGCGCGGTCACCGCCGGCATACAGAACAGACGCAACTCTGCGCATGCGGCAGCAGAGAAATGGGGCTACCTAGGGATGCTTATCCAATACGTCCCCTGCCTGCCCGCAGTATTGGTGCTGCGCCGCCGAGGAGTCTCACGGCCACGCCCTCTTTCACTACAAGCTGCCCAGGTCGCTGTCTGGTGAGCGAGCGAGCCTGCGTCCGCAGCCGCTGCTGCCCCCCCCCCCCCCCAATGAGGGGGG